CTAATCCATGTAATCACTGCCCATACGTAATTCCTCATATCAATTTAATTGCTCCGCTCTACCCGTTTTTATAGTAATAACTGTAAACACTAATCCATGTAATCACTGCCCATACGTAATTCCTCATATCAATTTAATTGCTCCGCTCTACCCGTTTTTATTTTCATAAGCAATTTTGAATATCTCTACTTACCCCAAACTTTTGTCTTGCCTGTGCAGCAGCAAATGTGAAACAAACAGCAACAGCTCTTGCTAATTTCTGAGGCTGATGCCAATATCTAACCATATTGTGTGTGATATGAAGAGTATGAAAATGGCAGTTTAGACATGATGGGGCCAGAGCTGCAAGGAAGATAAAATTAGATTTTAATATCTAGTCACTGAAAAAATAACTCAAGGTAAATGACAACAGAAAGACAAGCTATTTGAAGTATTTAAAAGTACAAAAAAAAATTTGAGAGATTTATTCTGAATTATGAAGTATACAGTTTTAATTTAAATAATGTGCTTTTTCTTTCACCCATTGTCAAAAGTATTTTAACTTACAAGTTCAGAAAACAATTGTTTTTTAAATTAACAAACTCAAGTTGCAAAAAGAAAAATGTATATAAACATAGGTTAACCACAGAGTAGTACTAACACACAAGACTGTAATAAACACAGGTTAACCACAGAGTAGTACTAACACACTAACATAGGTTAACCACAGAGTAGTACTAATACACAAGACTGCAATAAACATAGATTAACCACAGAGTAGTACTAACACACAAGACTGCAATTAACATAGGTTAACCACAGAGTAGTACTAACACACAAGACTGCAATTAACATAGGTTAACCACAGAGTAGTACTAACACACAAGACTGCAATTAACATAGGTTACCCACAGAGTAGTACTAATACACAAGACTGCAATAAACATAGATTAACCACAGAGTAGTACTAATACACAAGACTGCAATAAACATAGATTAACCACAGAGTAGTACTAACACACAAGACTGCAATTAACATAGGTTGACCAGAGTAGCACTAACACACAAGACTGCAATTAACATAGGTTAACCACAGAGTAGTACTAACACAGAAGACTGCAATTAACATAGGTTAATCACAGAGTAGTACTAACACAGAAGACTGCAATTAACATAGGTTAATCACAGA